GAAAGAGGAGTCACATTCAAGGAGCAGAGCATATCAAAGTAGACACTCAAATCAGACAACTGGGAAGGATGTCCAGAAAGGGTGCCATGTATCAACTAGAAAAAAAAATGGTGCATCAGGTAGATCTCATATCTTGGTTTTTGGTTCTGGTTTTTATTTTTTTTTCCTTCTTTTTTTCTTCTTTTCTTTTTTTTGGGGGGGAGGGTAAGGGTTTGAGGGTTTTGATTTTAGTTTTGTAATCAAGTACTGAACATTTTAGAGTAGGTTTCACTGACGTATCCCCCCTCCACCTTGTCTGGTGACATGGCTGTCCGCTAGCACCCTGCCAGATGCAAGGTGTTTTGTTCTACTGGAAGTAAGAGTATACTCCTAAGACAGCTGCCATCCAAAATACATCAAGAGATCCAGAGAAGTCAGGGTATATTTTTTCATCAGGCTACAAGGGCTGGTTTCAGTATGCTAGGGCAGGATCTCCTATACAAAATAGCACACCTTTGGCAAGGGGCAAAGGAAGGAAAGCTTATGGCTTCAGAAGGATCTTGTAAGAAACAGCCAGTCTGCAAGGCTGAGATTTGAGAGATCAAAGTCGAGCACAACATATTATTTCCAAACAGTTGTTCCAGATTTGCAGGCACCTCAGGTGTCCTGCTGCGGTGTCCAGGTTCCCTGGCAAGAGTTCAAGGTTTTTCTCATTCAGTGACAGGAATGACTTCATGTCTTGCACACTGAGAGCATTAATTTAGCATATAAATATTTCTGTATCTGATACAGTTTCTGTTGCTTTCTGAGAAGGATCAGAGATTAAAAATACTTCATATCTTGTGGCTGCTCTTTTCAGATTCAGTATTTTTTACTCTTGATACCACGCTGTGACCTGGCCTCAAGGCTGAGTCAGTCTGTTGGTGACTGGCTACCGAGGGCTGTGACCTTCTGTCGGATTTTGATTTTGGAGGATCCTAGTTTCCTGCCTAAAGCAGGTGCTGGGCTAAAGTCACTTACATCTATGAATTAACTCTACAGAGAACCTGATGCAAGGCAGCCAGCAGAATTTGGTGTGGGGCAGAAGCTGTGCTCTGAGGTTTTGGAAGATAGTAGGGCAGCTAGAGCTCTCTGGGTGGACTGGGGGGATTCGTGTGCACCCCCTGCACAGAGCTGTTAGTTGTCGTCCCCCCTGCACGTGCACAGTGGTGCTGCTGGGGAAGCCTTCAGGAGTTTCCCTAACCTTAGTGCAGGGCCCAGTGCCATTATCCTCACCAGTGAAATAGCTAGCTGCCCCCTAAATTCAGTTACAGACCTCCTGGGTGTGGGCATCTATTCGGTGGCTACTGATCTATGCAAAAGTTTTTTTTTATTTATGCTAGTAGTTTTATTTTCCCATACATTTTCCCATGCTGATAGTTTTATTTTCCCAGCATGTCAGGCTGCTGCCTTCTCAGTACATCTGCAGGAATGAGAGCAGAAGCTGAATATGTGCTTAATTACCTCACTTATAAACTGTTTAAAATTCTTAGAGAGCTGGATATAATTGATGTCCAATAGATTAGTTTTTCTGGTCTGCTAAAGCTAAAATAGCCTAACACCAGCCAGAGGTAGCTGGTGAGTTATTCTTCCAGTCCTGGGGAAGACTGTGTTGGCAGGAAGCTTCACCGACAAGCTTCACCAAACCCTGTGCTTCAGAGAGGGGCTATTTCTAAGGTGAGGATGGGAAAGGAGTGCTTATTTTGATGAATGGTCCTTCAGAGTGCTAACTTGGGCTTACAACAGTATAATTCTGAATAATAGTGTCAGTTCCATCCAATTCCCACCTCGTCCTCACGCTTGGGAGCAATACATACACTCCCGTATTTTATGGTTTCCTTTTTACATTTGTTTACCTCCTGTGAGGGTACTTCAAACTCGTCGATCAAGATGATCATTGCGATACAGCAGTTTGTCTTAAATCCCCCATCTTTTTCAATTGCTTGTAATGAATATTAAAAAAACAGTGCTGTTCAAAGTTCCGGGTTTTGGGGTTTTTTTTCCAAGCCTCAGATTTATTTGGAACACATTAGAGGTCTCTTTAAAATCTTATCTATAACTGGCATAATTATCTGCTCAGACGAGTTGTGGCAAAAGACGAATCCCTAAAACTTCAGGCATTGCACTGTTATTTTTAAGCCAAATCATGGAACAGTCCCCAAACCCTCACCTTTAATTTACTAGGTCTTTCTCCAAAAAATGCACAGCTGCTATGCACTTGGAGGAGTAGAATTTAAGGATTTTGATTTTATTTAAACCTCAGTAACCATCAGCTCCTTAGTTACTAGGGGTGTGTCTGCTAAGAACAATCTGTCACCTGTCACTGGGCTTTTAAGCGACTGTGATTTCAGATCCAGAGCTAAGACAGGTAATTAACGAAATCGTGCAGACTTCAGTTGAGAAAAGTGCTAATTTTTTATATTATCGTTATCCACAAGAGTGCTGCTTTTTCAGTTAATTTCACATTCTTATACAATTTCAATCTGTAGTTACGAAGAATTACACATGGACTGATTTTAGCTCATTTTTAAAGGTGTTTCAGCTACAAACTGTCCAGAATCTGTGAAGTTATATAAATGCTGGTTAAATCTAATTTTTTCATAATTAATACAGTTCAGTTTCTGGAAGGTTTCTAGAATCCATTTTAACACACATACACTGATATTTCACCAAAACACTAAGCTCACCAGATCCCTAAAGCTTACTGATAACTTTTATTGAGGTTATTAGTATGATTTTGGGGAAAAAAGCGGTCAGAGTACAGACACTGTGAATTTTGACAAGTGCTAAAATATCATGTAATCCATGCAGAATAGCATCATTAAATAAAACAATAAAACCTGTTTTCTTGTCCAGAAAGATAAGATATTGTTATTGGACCTCTATCCCAATAACAATGAAGTTACCATATTTAATGGTGCTATAAACTCTGGAAAAATAGGGCTGAAAGGGATCCCAAGATGTCATTTTGTCCAAAATTATGTAGGAAGTATGGACTAGATGAAAACCACACATAAATCCTTTCTGTTTCTAGCATCCTTCTTGCGTATGTACGCTTTCAAGTCATCATTACAAATGAATGTTCCACAAAATATTGATGTGAAAGGAACATTAGATTTCCTGTATTTAATTCTTAGTACCAATATATTACCCTGGTGGTGCAGTCTGCTTTCACATTGAGCTAACATGTCTGATCAAGTAAATCAAGCATCTGGGAAAGCTGTGATTTGGAGGACAGGTACCATACCTTGTATGTCTTCTGTTGTGAGTCAGGCTGGTCGGGGCTGCCTGCATGGAGCGGGAACCTGAGCAGGATAGGTCAGGACAGCTGGAGGAGCCCCGAGAAGTGAAGTCTGTTTTGGTTTTTAGTTCCACAGAAGAGCAGCTGTAACTGTGTTCCCTTCTCTTAGGGGGAGCTGCTGCTGGCTGCCTTGTTGGTCTCCCCTCCACCTTCCAAGCCCAGTATTTGCTACAGCTTTGCTTATTCCTGGGGATCTTTGTGCTAGTGGAGCTATGTCTGCTTTAGAAAGTAATTCAGTGCAACAGGACTGGATCAGTAGGTTGAAGTATCTGGTGTTCGGGTGATTCACTTCACGTGAATTACGAAACACAATAGGGTTCACTAGAAGAATTCATTACTTTCACATCTTCCTTAACTCCAGCTGTGAACCAGCGAGGATGCCAGCACCGTGTCTGCAAGCAGGGGCTGGATCACTTGTGGTGTCTGGGTGCCCCTTTACATCGCGGAAGATGCCACACACTGCTTTGCATCCTGGGGTCACAGAACTATGTCCCTGCACGCAGTAAAAAAAGTCTGTGCTGTGTTTACCTCTGGCCTCACCACATGCAGTGTGGAAGCTGAACATGTATTTAGCTGTCTCCCTGCGAAAGGGTGGACCCTGGACAACAATCAGGCTGCCAGTCTTCCCGACAGCCTCTGAATTGCCGATGATTGCTGTGCCCTGGACGACTTGGGCGAGGAAGCAAGGCTTGTGACCCACCATCCCATCCTCACTGGCTGGCTGTGTCCTTTTTGACTTTCCTTGAGCCACCACCTGGCTGGGGGCTTTGACAACCAACTTGAGAGCCCTGAAGAACCCTCCCACACTTCCACAGAGCTCTGGGTAACCTGCCGTCAATAGCCTTGAGCATACTGGCCATTATAGCCAATAGCCTCCAGCATACTGGAGAAAGAAGGAGGTAGCCACGGTGGCTTGGGTATTCTGCCCTGTAGAAAGCAGTGGCGGAAGACTGCTTCTGTGCTGCTTTGTGAAGAGCTGACAGGAAAGGGAAAGGAGCTGGTGCGTGGTTTGCTTAAATGCTCCTTTAAAAGGAGTTGGTGGGAAATGGGGTGGTTGGAGGGAAACTTGATAGTGTCTGTACAAGCATCAGTCACAGATGGGAACTTTGATAAAGGTTAGAGGGGTTGGAGGTGGAGCTGGTGGCTCCTGCCCTGGAGGGTTTGAAGGAACCTTCTCAGCAACGAAACTTCCTCCTCCCCCTCCATAATCAAAAGCTTTCTCGCTCTCTGCGCCATTTCAGCTCTCAGGAGAGATCACCTATTCTTCCACTGACAGCTTCATGACCATACATGCCCCATGCTCCCTCTCCAGTAGGGTTCTGATAGGCAGACCTCTTCTGTCCCAGAAACTTTGCCTCCTGCAGGAAAAAGCACTGAGGCATGCAAATACCTTCACCTCTGTCTTTCACGGGAAGGTTCTGGACAGCTATTCATCCAGGGTCGGGAGAGGCCATCAGTAACCCTTGGCCCATGTTCTCTACCTGCTTCCAGGTCCCCCAAAGAATACAAATACTAGGAAAGTGTGCAGCTCTAGGCAAAGATCAGACATGTGGTTACAGAAGTGGGTCAGCAAAAGTGCCTTAACACCACAAAGACTTCTTGGTACTACCATCACTCCATCCCAGCAGTGCTGGGCCCCTCTTACAGATCTCATCATTGATCTTCCATGGTTAGAAGGTAACACGCTTAGTCCAGGCTTAGTTGATCAGTTCAGAAATACTCAATTTCACTGCCTTTTTGAAGGTCCCTTCCTGCTTCAGAAACTATTTTAAAACCATATTTGAAATTCTCCAGGCTGCTTGCCAGCAGTTACTGACCAATGAAGTTCCATCTGGGGGAAAATTCTTCCAGTTATTGGAAGCAAAGTTGTTCTCACCTACGTGTTGCCCTCAGACAGAGGAAGTGAATGCATGAGTCAGACTAAAAAAAATAGAATGCTTCTATTGTTTTATTGCTCATCAGGATACACAGATTTCATATGTGTCATTTGCTTGACTTGCCTACAGCAATTCTGGGTGTATATCTGCCAGCCCCAGTTTCTTCTCACGTTGCTGAGGATACTCAAGTCTTATTGCTATAGGACAGCAGCTGCACAGCAGCATTGGTGAACTGAAAGAACACCTTGGTGTTGCAAGAGAAAGCTACAGAGAAAACGTTCAGTGCCACTGTCAGAAGGCCCTGCTATTGCGATTCAGGATAGAGTTCAGTTATCACTGTGTGATCAAATTGGATTTGTCAGTGTCTCGGACAATTTTCAGTTAACGAGTTGCACAAGATACTCTTTACAAGGCTGATGGGTGATTTTCCTGTACTTTGTGTGCTGCTATTGAAAAGGAGCACTGGGAACCAGTTTTGAAACTCACTCTCCACTCCCATAGGGACTGTGGGTGAAGCAAATTCTAGACTGAAAATTGGTTTGAAAGTCAATGTGTTTGGCTGAACAGAGGTAAGAAAGACCAGCTGAACAATCTGGGAGTCAGACATGAGTGTTTGTATCCTGATCTGAGGGTTTGACTGTCTCAGGGGCAACTAGAGGCTTTGACAGCAAAGAAAGAAGAATGTACGGGCTCGCATCCCTGAGCAGCCAGTATTGCTGCCTGCGCTGGGATGAGTCAGCCAGCAGGCTGAGCTGACCTTGCCCTGCTATTCTCTGCTTTTCCTCACATGGCTGTCCAAGGCTGTTTTATTAGAATAGAAAAGCAATTAAGTCTGACAACACAACTCTCTAAACTACATTGTAAGACAGAATAAAGATTTTGAAAACAATCTATCCTCTACTCAGTGGGTCCTTACAAGGCAGGTATCCTTTCCTTTAGGGTTTCCTTGAGTCCCTCTTGTCTTCTGTCCAGGCTCCTTCCTTGTCTTTTCAACATCAGCTTAACTTCTGACCAAGCTTCCTCCCTAAATCCTTGGTTTGATGCAAAACCTGTCTTCTCTGATTGCTGTCCAAGACCTTTATTTACTATGGGACCCATCTCCTGATTCTGTTCTGGCCCTAACCATTTAGATAGCACCCTGGTGCTATGTTTTTCCTAACAGCTCCTGAGTGCTAAGCCATGGCTGGATGAGCTGGAGCATGGAGCCATGCACTTTGCAAGCTCATCAGGAGAGTGACTGAGCTGTTCTCTCAGGGAACGCCTCCCATGTGGGTGAGAGGGTTTCTGAGGAGGTGGAGTCCTTTGAGACAAATTGCTCATCCGGGAAGAAAGGTAGTAGGCTGGAAAGCTGATTCCCTCACATCAGCCTCTGCCTTCCCTGGCAACGCTCCAAAGAGCATCTGAGCCTCTTCTGACATGAGCTGGGAGGAAAGTTCAGAAGGAGATCTGGGAAAGGCTACATGATGGAGAGCTTGCTCAATCCTGCAAATCCTGTCCATGCCAAACAAGTTCCTTTCACATATGTGAGTTTCGTTACTCCCATGACGATAATAAATCAGCTGGAAAAGTACCTTATGTTTGGCTGGCTAAACCAAGAGGCACTCAATGCCAGTGTGTAGGCAACTAAATCGTGTCCTGACTGTCCAGCAGCTTGAGTCCGAAGAACCCAAGCCACAGTTCCCCTCTCTGTACATGTAATCACTGCCTTATACGTCATATA